CTGTTCAAATCAATTTTTAAGCTCTTTTTAGTTTTTTTCAGTATTTGGGAATGTCAGAAAAGTGCTTAAAATAAGATAAAAACTGCTTAAAATAAGCCAAAAGCAATAAGCTAGACAACCCCAACTTATTACTTTTTGGCTTAAAAGTTATTTTTGCTGAAAAGCCACTTTTTTTAAGCCAATCCAAACGGTCTCTTAGTCTCGAATTCACGTGTATAAATGTTGCTATTTCAACATACTATTTTTCGAATGTATTGATAATCTATCTGAATTTCTAGGTCTGTTCAATGTTGAACATATAGAGCATTTTAATTCGACCTTAATTCGTTTTTGAGATATCTGATTTCCGATAATATGTTTTAGTTATTCCTAAGTTTGGAAGGCAGTATAGCAACAACAACAACAACAACAACAATAACAACAACAACAACAACAAACCCAGTATATTTTACAAGAGAGGTTATTTCTGATAGACTCTCAGCTCAAGAGACAGTCAAAGCGAAACAACAAACAATAACAACAACAAGGCAGTAAGATAAGACAAGTGAACTGACACAATAGATTGAAATAAAGGTCTAAGAATCAGAAAATACAAAATAGTACTAATACTACTAGTAAGAAGACTAAGACCAGGACAAACTCACAACTATATCTTCAACCTTCAACAATAATTCTCGACCTTCACGCCTTCCTATCGAGAATTCAGAAGGTAGTGGTGGAAAAAGAAAAATTCAAAATCGATGCTTAGCAGATTCCAAAAATATCAATTTGTGAGATTTCGAATAATTATAAGATATTGCCTGCTGTATATTCATTGAACTCGGTCATACTAAGACATGTCTTAATCTTATAATATCAATTTGTTCACCCACAATGACGGCTATAGACAGACCAGATTATCAAAAACAGTGTAAAGTAAAATCTGAATTTTAATTGTTGTTTCTCTTACCTAATTAAATAATTAATTCTACTGATTGAGAGGGAAGCATCCAAGTAGTTTAAGGGCTTGTAAAGGTTTTAACTCATAAAGTTGGAGTTACAAAGTTTACGTGGAAGATATTTTTCCATATAAGCTAACTACAATATTAAAGTTGAACAAATAAAGTTTATGTGGATTCTTTGTCAGCTTCTAGTTTGGAGGCGTTTTTTATTTATTTTATTACTGTTATGACACGTGCTTCGATTTTGCACTATTAGAATAAATCGCAATTTTTAAGCTATGAAATTAGATTTAATCACTTTGAGAAAGTTATTTTTATGGGCTGCGATCTTTTTCTTGAATGACATAAAGAACACAAGGTGAACGAACCAAATCCTTATTAGTCAACAAAGGATTAATTAATATGAATTAAGCATACATTTAGTCAATGTTTATCTTGTTTTCATGGGCAGTACAATATTGACGAAATTTCTGAAAAAATGAAAAAGGATTAGCAGTCATTTATTAGTCAACCTTTGTTATTCTCGTAAAAGCGAAATTATTTTATCTGCATGGATATAATCATATCGCATAAGAATAACTGAAGGATAATATTATTTGAAATTTGAAATAAAAGCGGCTAGCGCAATTAAGCTCTCTTCATTATTTTAATTCTCAATTTCTCCTCTATCCATTCTTTGACAAAATGTATGTCAAATGGATATATTATATACATCTCTATCTATACTTATAATTATAATTAAGAAATAAGGAAAAGATCAGTTTGCCAATTGATAGAACTGTGCTTATCGCAAGTACTAAAGTTCCTAAATAGTGAAGTATACTTTAATTTAGGTACATTAAAAAAGGAAAAAGACATTCCTTCTAAATGAAGATAATAACATGATTGGTTAAGAAACCTTGAAGCTGTACTGGACACGTACACCCCTCAAGGTTAGTGGTGGGATGAAAAAGATTCAACCATCCTTAATAAAAGGTTCCGCGTTAAAGTCTTAAGAATGAGAAAATCGAGATAGAAATTCTTTTTCTTTTTAATAAATCTTACGTGACACGAACTTAGATTAGTCGCGCCCCAATACAAACACTTTAATTGGATGTAAAAACAGATAAATGAAAACTTAGTCATTCTCACTTTAATTCTGCTAGGTTTTCATTTCCCATATTCTCTCCAAACATGCATACGTAATGCCTTACGTGCGTCTCAACTCTCGGACAATTAATTAATTACCTAATTCCCATTACCCTTTAGAAAATTTCGAAGGTATGAGATGTCTTTACGTACTTACCTTATTTAGGTGTGAGTTCCGGCAAAGAACTATTGCCCTATATTATTCTTGGTTAGACTGATCTATATTTGGCCTAGCTAGTTATTGATTAAAAGTGTAGGTATATGATCAGTTATAGAGGATATATTAGGTGCTTATCATTCAAGCAAAAGAAAAAAAAAACTCATATGTAACCCATCGTACTATGTGATAACAACTAAGAAATAGATGGTAACAATAATAATAAATTCAGTACAAGTAGGATCTAAGTTAGAGGAGGCTCAATCAATACGGTGGCCTAAAGCAAAACCTTAATAAGAGGCCTAAGAGATATTCAATAAAAAATTTTATATATTTTTATCGGAACTGAGAGTTTGAGAAAAACGTGAGGAAGAAAAAAAAAAGATTATGCTACTCAAATTATTCAATTCCCTTGTTATTTGGCAGATTAGATAGATGAGCTAGTATGAGGAGAGAAAAAAGGGAATTTGATTTTATAAAGAACAAGAACTGATTTAGCTGAAGATTGAAGAAAGAAAAAAAAAATACTGTCACTTGTAGACTCACTGCCTCCCAATTAAAACACGAGAGCCTAAAAACATATGATTTATATGAAGAAAATTAAATAAACTGGAATAGTTTTAATTATTAGATATACATGACTGAATTACTACATCTACAAATGATAAAAATTTAGTCATACAAAATTTATTTTTTGATATAGTGGCACTAATTTAATTTTGAGGCCTTAAAGTATTGGGGGCCTAAAGCAAGTGCTTGACTTGCTTTAGGCTTGAGCCGGCACTGATCTAAGTAGGGCCAGAGGCACAAGTCGAACAACGGGTTCGACCGAACTAGTAGCTTTTGCTTAAACAGTGTATTTATTACTCCCTCCGTTTCATATTAAATGAAGTACTTTCCTTTTTAGTCTGTTCCAAAATAAATGACACATTTCTAAATTTGAAAATAATTCAACTTTAAACTCCTTATAACCACACAAAAGTCATGGCCCCACAAATCTTTACCCACTAAGCTTTTAAGACCACAAATTTCAAAAGTCTTTCTTTTTTTTCCTTAAACTCCGTACCGAGTCAAACTACCTCATTTAATTTGAAACGGAGAGAGTATTTAGAATTCATTAAATATGTACAAATATTAAATTTAAAACCCAATCACTAACACTTGAAATCGTCGTTCTAAAATTCAGAACCCATAAGGTTAAAATCTTGGCTCGGCCTCTGGATCTAAGAGGGTAGTGAATACGCATTTTTACCCATACCTTATGCATATAAAGATGCTATTTTCAATAAACACTCGACTTCAAGCAAGTACGCAAAAACCACAACAGTATCATCATATCCATACCTCCCCGAAATAAATATTAATAAATTATAGATAACGTATGATATTGATAAATAAAACATAAAAAATTATGTAAAATTTTCTTTATTTATTCATATTATATTATAACTTATCATAAGAGATCATTTCTCCCATAGAATCATGAATGGAGAAAAAGAAAGAGTGATCAATCACTATTCACAAGTATGCAAAAATAGGGGAAAGACATAAAGCTGAATAGATGCTTCAAATTGCAAGGAGGAAGCAATTGAAAACATTCATTTTATATTATCTGAACTGAGAGGTAGTTAAAAGTTACTCATAATCTTTTAGGGCCCCCTATTTACTAGTAATTCTTTTCATGCCCATGTGAAATCTCTTGTATAATACTGTACTGAATACATACTCTCTTGAAGTTCAGGGTCCCATTTGTCAAAAAGTATTTAGAAATCAAAACCACCATCTGTTTTTCTCTTTGCAGGTAGGTCCTTTATGACCCCACAAACCGACCATCTATACTTGGTCTAGAAACAGCATTTTCCCCACCCCACCCTGTTTTTTTTCAGATTTAATTTTTTTTGGTTGAAAGAAACTAAAGTAATATTTAATCATGCTCGAAAAGAGAGAGGAAAAACAATATGGGAGCAATTATTTTATTGAGTTTAATTAACTTCTATCCATTAAAAAGAATTACTCAGTAAATTTCAAATGATTACTTTAAGAATATAGTAAAAAAGGATTTAAATTATATACGTACACAATATGCAAATATTTTTATAATATCAGTATAACTTAATTGAATGTATATCATTTATTATATTTTTAAGGTTGTCATGTTAGATATCTTATGAAAGTTATTTGGTACTGTTAGTCAATTTAGCCTTACCCCTACCATGGACGGACAGAAAGACTGTTTCCAATAGACCATCAGCTAAAGAAAAGATGAAGTGCATAAAACATATATTTTTGAGTAAAAATAACTTGCTGCATTAAGTTAAAATCACAAATTTTTACAAAAAAAGTTATACTATTATTAATAAAAAGGAGTATATATTCAGAAGCGGACCCAGGATTTAAGTCTTACGGGGGGCACCATTATTTTTAGTATGCCAATCACCAACAATAAAGTTCGGGTGTAACTCTTTGAAATGACTATGATAATTTATCATCAAAATAAAAACAACAATATTATCAAATACCATTAACTTGATACTAATATAACAAAAGTATATTGTCCACTCATAGTTGAACTCGACGCGTTTTCATATTCTGAAAACGGTCAATAATAGCATCATTGCTTATATTTACAAACACTTCCTTCTCAAACTAACAAACTAAACAATCATTTAAAAATGCATCACCAATACTACTACGCAATTCATCTTTGATGTACTTCATAGATGAGAATGCTCTTTCCACCGTTGCAGTTGCGACAGGTAAAATTAAAGTCAACTTCACAAGCAAATAAACAAGTGAATAAGTCTCCACATGATTTGTCTCAACCAATGCTTTCGCCAAATCACCAATATAATTCCTTTCAAATCAGAGAACCTAGGGTCACCATGTTGCATATGCCATATGAAAGTGTCAAGTTGGCGACTAAGATCTCGAAGCTTCAATTCACCAAACTCATCGGGATAATGCTTGGCCAATGTCATTATTCTTTCCTTATCAAAATTAGCAAATGAGTTAGCCGGATTCAAGCTAGCCATACCAAGAAGCAGGTTACTACTCACAACATCAAAACGACTATTAAGCTCCAGAAGTTGTAAATCAATCACGGCATAAAAAAGCTCAACACGTAAGTGATGTGAATAAGTAACACTAGAAGGCCTACGCTTTGACTTTCCAGGAATATAGAATTCTTCCATCTTGGGCACCAAAATATCATGTTTTGCACAAAATAAATATACTTCATCCATCAATGGTTCCCATCCTTTATCTCTCATTTCTTGCAACCTTTCCTTTGTGATACCAAGAAATACCATGGCATTGACAATATCTTGATCTTTCTTCTGTAGTGCTTTGCTCAACTCGTTTGATATTATCAACACTTTCAACATTAAGTGAAGCAAGAAAACAAATTCAAATGCTTTAATTTTACTCGAAAAAGCTTCTGCTTGCAACCTATCATTAATATCACCTTCACATTCAATCACCCCAAGCACATGAACAATAGAAGAAAATAAAATAACAAAGTCATCCAATGTTTTACAATGTGATCCCCAACGAGTGTCACCTGGCCTTTGAAGCCCCCGCTCTTGATTTAATCCTTTCCCACTTTGAACTTCACCACTCTCTAACAATTGCTCCAACAATTCTGCTTGATGATCCTGAAGTTGATCTCTACGCTTAAAAGAAACTCCAACTATATTCAACACGTTAGTAACAATAGCAAAGAAAGTCTCAACCTCCTAGTGTTTTTTAGCAACGGCTACAAGTGTCAATTGTAATTGATGTGCAAAAGAATGAACAGAATATGCCCATGGAGTTTCTTGCAAAATTAAGCTTTAAGGCCATTCATCTTTCCCTGCATATTACTAGCCCCATCATAGCCTTGTCCACGTATTTTGGATGGACTTAATGAGTGTTTCATTAGCAAAGAAAGTACTGCTTCTTTCAACGACTTTGTAGATGTATCACTAACACGAACAAGACTAATAAATGGCTCGTTCACTTGGCCTTTTTTGTCAACATACCGCAAAGCAAAGGCCATTTGTTCATGGTGTGAAATATCCTTGGACTCATCAGCTAATACGCCAAAATAATCTCCATCCAAGTCATCAATTATAGCTTTCACGATCTCTTGTGCACAAGCACTCACAATATCCTTTTGAATTTTTGGCGAAGTCATTATATCATTTTTTGGAGTATGTTTTGGGTTTAGAAGAAATAACCTGATGTCAAAGAGAGAGAAAAGGGAGTAGGCTTGTATTTTTAACCTATGAAATTTGTTTTAGGTTTAGAAGAAGTAACCTGATGTCAAAGAGAGAGAAAAGGGAGTAGTCGTGTATTTTTAAACTTTGAACGGAATTAAGATTCAATTAAAGGTCTGACCGAATGAGGCCCAATCAAAAAAAAAATTGAGTGTTGGACCTGAGTTTCAAACCTAGATCTTGAAGAAGACAGCTACTCCCACAAACCAACTCTTCTATCCAGTCTTTGTGACTGAGGGTGCCGCATAATATATTTATAGGGGTCCTCCCTGTATTAACTTATATATATAGAATATATATACAATATTTTTACCGAGTCAACGGGTGCCCGTGACCCCCCATCCCCTAGCGTAGGTCCGCCCCTGTATATATTAGATCCGTATTTATTTTAGGGGCTTCTTTTCTCTGCCTAAGCTTACATATTCGACTTATTTTTTGTCAGATAAGCAACTCTTATATTCTCCTAACATGGTATACGTACAATGAAAAGGAAGGGTAGAGTACTATTTTAAAAGGAGAAAGAGGAAAAGAAAAGGTAAATTAATAGGTCCAATATTGAATTAAAAAATCACCGCGTAACCAAGCACGAAAATCTGTCTTAGTGGTAGCTAATGTGAGGTTGTCATTTTGGAATATTTAAATCATCAATTAAAGCTAAGCAAAAAAGAAACGTAGGCTTGAAGCATATTCCTTTAAAAGCATAGGAATCTAATCTAGTACTTAAACCACAGATATGTCATTCTTCTCGAACTTGCAGGAATCTCAATGTCGGCCAGAGATTTGGAATTCTAATTCTTTTAAGTTTTAAATTTTAAATTAATAATTAATACATGTTCAATAAATTTTTTGAAACAAATATAAAATTTGAACCAAGAATAAACCGAAGTTTTAGCTCCGCCCTGATACCATACCATGCCAGCATGTTATGTTTCTTTTCCTCGTCAAAATCGACCTATGATTTTGTTTTTACAAAGTTGTATCGTGCAATTATTGATCAAGTCATGTGTAGATATGTTTACCCACATTTGCTTGTCTTAGCTATATATATGTACCACCACTATGTATTAACTTTTTCCATGTTTGTCCTTTAAAGTACTTTATCATTACCATATTTAAGCTCCTACACACACGACATTTTCACGAGGGTGGCACAAAACAAAGATCAACTATGAATATATTGTATAGGTCCGTGTATTACATATTTACAAGTTATGCGAGTAATGTACTTGCACACAGTGACGAAGCTAGAAATTTTTCCAAGGGTGTTTAAATTTAAAGAAGTGAAAAAAAATTCCGACTAAGGATGTTCAATATGTGTTATATATATCTAAAACGTAATATTTTACCTATGTACGCAGTGCAATTTTTTGACAACCCTTATCATCATGTGGCTTCTCCAATGCTTGCACATAATCATTTCATCGCGTAACTATCGTAAATTAATACTATAATTTATATAAACACGCGATTCAAATAAATTTTTACATTTTTTCCGCTGGATTTCTGTACCTTCTTCTAAATTTCTTTTCACACCTATTGGTCGTAGAAATGAGAAGCTGCATATGGGAAAGAATAGCTTCAGTTAAAGTTTTGATGAACTCTTAAAGAAATAAAAACCGTTAGTTTAACGAATTTGACACTTTTATACCATATATACTTAACCAGCAATTTGATTATTCGAACGAGTGATGGAGGACTATATATATTGGTGAAAGACATGTATTAAGTGAATCCAAAAATGTAATAAGGACAATTCAGCTTTGAAACCTTGTGAATGTACAAATTCTTATCAATAAATTTGAGGTCGTAAACTTGAAATATAATGGAGACAAAGAAACAACTATCTTAGACAATGAAATGCAATCATGAGGCATTAGTACTTCCAAAAATTAAGGTAAAATTAAAATATAAATAAATGAAAAAGGGTAAAATGGGAAGATCATTACAAACATTGACAGCCAACCACAAACTTTTAGGTCATAGTACCACTATATAGTGACTAGCAATAAAAGCGATAAATAGCGATTTGCTAACAAAAAAACTTGTTAAATGGAAGGTCCCACCCAAAGAAAAAAAAGGGAGAAAACTAGGACCTGTTTGTCATAAAAAAATTCCTTTTTTTCTATTTAAAAAAATATATATGTTTGTCTATGAAATTTTGCAAGTTGTTGGAAATTTTTCGAAAATGAGTTTTTCAAAAAGCAAAAAGTGGTTTTGACCATTTTTCCAAAATTTTCAAAAAGAAATTTTTTTTTCCCACTCACAAAACTACAATATTTTTCAAGTGAAATGCATGTTCAAACTAGGGGTGTACAAACAGAACCGGAAAACCGCACCAAACCAAGCCGATTAAAAAAACTTGACTAGGTTTGGTTTGCTTTGATTTGGTATTGAGTAAAAAAAATCGAACCAAATCGATATATAAATATATAATTTTTATATATACTTTTAAGATTTTATATAGACTTTTCTTTATGAACTATCTAAAAATATTTGGGATTCTCTTGCGAGATATAATGTTTAATAAAATATGAAGTGCTCCATATTTATTAACCTTAAATAATAGGTTATATGATCACTTTCTCATCAACTGTTATTGAAATACGTTAATCTCTTTGTTCTTTCATATTCATATCATATGTTTAGATCTATTAAATTTGTATTTCTTTTTCGAATGTGAAGTGATTATTATTATTTAGGTATCATATTGGTTTCTATGTTTAATTACAATTGAAATAATATTTAAGTAACAAAAAATCCGAAAACCCGACAAAACTGAACCAATCCAAACAGATCGGTCCATGTACACCCCTAGTCCAAATATCATTTCTAATTTCAAATACCATGTTTCAACTTAACTCCAAATACTACCTTTTTTTGCTTCAAAAATTACAATTTTTATGTCCAAACGCCTACTAGATCTCATGTTCAAATTTTAACGGAAGTAAAAATATTAGTATTAGGTAATTTCTACTTATAAGTTTTATGGATAAAGTTAATATATATTTACATTGGGAAAAAAACAACAAATATCTCGTAAAATTAATCAAAGAATGGACGGACTAATTCAGACACCACAACTATTAAACCAAAAGGAAGGTCCCCTACCCAAGCAAAAAAAAAAAAAGGAGATTTGCAAAGCAAAGCTAAAGCTACGACTTTCACATAAACATATCAAGTTATCAAAAAAACAAACAACGTGCTTAAAACTGACCTCTCACCAACATAGCTGAATGGTGGGACTCACACTTTTATTTCCTTGATCTTCATAAATCTTTCAACAGTTTTGGTCTCTAAAGGGGCACATTCCTCTTTTTCTTTTCTTTCGTTTATGTATTTGGTGATCTTTCTAAATTCTTGTCCTGATTCTACAATTATATTTTTTGTTTTTTCTCGGCATCAAATAATACCGACCTCCATTTTTGTTTCTTATTATTGGTATCGTTAAAAGATTGAAAACCAAAGGAAAACTAAAGAAATAAAAGAAAACAAAAAATATAAAGAAAGAAGAAGATGTGCACATTGGTTGTGCTTGGTGTGACATAAAGTCATTTTTGAGAAAATATTTTTTATAATGAGGTTATTTTTAGTGTTCGAATACAAGAAATGAGGAATTAATGAACTCTGACTTTACCATGCTCCAAAATGGTGCTAAAATTTAGGATCATGTTTCAAACTAGAGTCAATGTTTACATCTTCTTGACTACGTTTACTCTGGTATTTGGCATTTAATTAAAGCATGTACATTATAAGCAAAGTATTCCTAACTTTGAGTATCTAACAAAGATTAAACGGTATAGACTAAACAATACGAAAATGAAAAAGTCTAGCACGATCTTGAAATAAAATCAACAAACGCGGCACCTTCCTGAGATTCCTTGGAAGGGCGACGTAAAGCTAAGCAACCGATGTCAGTGCAGTTACTATCCACCAACTGAGATCCCCTCTGTATGCTAGACGAGATTGATGGTGCCGTATGGAAAAACTAATGTCAAAAGAAATTAAGAGAACATAAATGGGAATTGAGAATGAAAGAAAGCTTGATTGCATTAATGAAAGTTATTACAAAAAAGCAACATGGTGTCGAGGGGGAGAGATACCAGTACAGAGAATTGTTTGCTTGCTAGAAAGTTTGATTGCTTAATCCCCCTAATAGTGCTTAAAAAAAATAAATCAAAGTTACAGGACTTGACCTAACTAAGCTAGAGATACATAATGGAAATACATGAAATAAAACTACTCAATATTTACAATAAAAAGGACTTAGATTCCTATATAGTAGAAGGTGGTCCGTTGGCAACAACCTTGTTGTCTTTAGCATCAAGGCCTGCGCGCGCGGCACTGTCTGCGCGCGCGCGTTGTTGGCATCTGCCTGCGGCTGGGCACTGGCGAGGGCTATCAGTGGGACGACATAGGCACATGCGCGCTTGTCACTTGACGCGGCCAAGACCACGGGGCCGACCATGGAGCATGGTGTTGGGAGGCTTGCCAGGACGCCATGGGGCGTGTCCGAGGGTTCATGGGGCATGGATGGAAAGCCTCCCATGACATTCTCCACCACCTGAGTTGGCGACGTCCCCGGTGCCTTAATTGCAAGATAATCATCGATCAGGCTCTTATAGGCTTTGAGGTTTGTTCCCCTCTCCCAAATATTCTCTTCTGCATCACAACCTTTTCATTTCAACAAGAACTCTTGGTGATCTTTCCTTGTAGTATGAACCACTCGATCATCGAGAATAGTTTCTACATGCCTTTTTCCGGTTGAATTAGGGCCTCGAATACTGGGTATTGTGAGTTGGATCCGGGAAAGATCCTCCATGTCTTCTCGAAAAGATTTCAGAAGACTGACATGAAAAACTGGATGAATCTTCCACCAGCCTGGGTATCCACCCGGTATGCAATTTTCCCAATGCGCTTC